CCCTCGGCAGAATCAAACTCCTTGTCCTGCCACCTGGTGACACTCAGCCCTGGCACGGGCGCAATCTGCATCTAGGAGCAGGTTTCAGGCACCCTCCCCCGCCAGGCGGCAGCACCGCCTTGCTGCATGACGGTGAGCTGGGCCACTCGTGCTGGAGCAGGCCCCACAGCCCCCACTGGATAGCAAACACGAGCCTGAGAAACGGGCTCACCACGCTAGGACCCCTGTGTCGGTGCGGACTGTGTGGGCCAGGGTGTGGAGAGCAGGGTGCTCAGGCCAGCCTGCGCCTGCAACCTCTGTCCCATGACGACCTCACCTGGCCAGAGCCACCCTGGTCTCTGGGAGGAGCCGAGTTCCCCACCAGAGAAGCGCACGAGCTCCTGGTGTGGGGTCCCGAGGAAGCCGGGCTTGCTCCTCACACGTGCACTTAGGTTCTCTGCCCCCAGCTCTGTGTTCTGTGCAAAACCCAAGGCATTCTGGGAAAACTCACAGGCCCCGAAGCGAGTCCTGAGAGCACCTGCATCAGGGCCAGATGTCGCATCCCGGTGACATCGCTGCAGTAAAGCAGGTCTGCTCACGTCCCAGCGCGCACGGACCCTCAGGGAGAAAGGCAGACGAGCCTTGCCGTGAGCTCGGGGAGAAGCCGTGCTTGGGGACGACAGGAGACAGGACAGGGGACAGGCGAGAACGCAGGCAGGGCCCCAGGTTGGTGGCAGAGGAGGTGAGCAGGGGCAGGCGCCGGTGGTGACAACAGGCAGCGGGGAGCTCGACAGCGAGCAGAGAAGGGGGCGCAGAGGTCTTGGAGGCCCACAGGGCCTGGCTGGATGGGCCGCTGCAGCCTTCTCCCAGGGAACCGGCCACCACTCAAGGGAAGGGACGCTGTCTTCGGGCTGCAAAGGCCCCCAGCGCAGGGATCACCCCCTGACAGGGCCTCCCGGCCACGGGAAGGCAGCAGGACAGGACCCCTGGTGGAGACAGGAACACACAGTGGTTACCCCAGGAGGGCAGGGCCCAGCTAGGGTGACATGAGCCCTGTCGGCAGCAGCAGAGGGGACCCTGGAGGAGGCAGAGGACTGAGGGAGGCCCAGGGCTGGGTGCCAGCAGACAGCTGCGCCTAATTTACAAGTCGTTCGCCCCCTGGTCCCTCAGTCTGCACCCTGCTCTCCACGCCCCAGGCTGGGACCCCAGAGCCATCACTTCAGGCCGCCCCGAAAGCCACCACGGTCCCCAGTGCCAGCTGTGCCCTCACCACGCTGCCACTGCCCTCCCGTCTGCTCTGTGCTCTCTGGGGACCAGAGCCCTGAGCGCCCCGCTCCTGGGTGCTTCCCAAACAAGACCAGAAAACAGGGAGCTGGTCATGGCTTCCCTGAGAGCCCCTCCCAGACGGGCAGCGCTGGGCAGGCCCAGGGAGAGCTCACTGTCCCCTGCATCTGGCAAGTTGGGGACACCCCGAGGACCTGGGTGACAAGGCTGCCTCAGGGTCCCAGGCTTGCTGAGCACACCCACAGGGACAAAGGCAAGGTGCCAGCCAGGGGCCCGTGCTGTCCCGGGACCGGAGCAGCCCCGTTGGGCAGCGGTCACGTGCAGCTTTCAAGGTCTGGGCCCCTCAGGCCTCGTCCCCGTCATTCCTGAGGCAGGAGCAGGGGCAGATGTGGGGCGGTGGGGGGACCCCGCAGAGCCTCAGCAGAGCCGGGAGCTGCCGTCCAGCCTGGGCTCATGGGAGACGAGGTCGCGATGGCCCCGCCCTTTGACCCTCGGCTCAGGCCCCCCAGCCAGGACCGCGGGGACTTCGGGGGAACATGAGGTGGGCACAGGGCCGGGCCGGGAGTGGAGGAGGGGGTGCGGGGGCTCTACTCAAAGGACAGCAGGTCGGGGTGTGGGCCCTCATTGTCCAGGCTGGGGGTCCGCGCCCGCGGACGGGGGCTGCTGTTCTCCGGCGTCTCGGCCAGGCTGGCTTTGCGGCTGTTTGTGGCGATGGGGCGTGGGGGGGAGGCCGTCCCGCCCTCCGTGGTCTGCAGCCGCGGCTCATCCAGGCCGTCCTGGTGGATTAGGTCAGGGACAGACAGGCACGGCGCGCCATTGGGCAGGGCCTCGCCCCCGTCCGCCATTCCCACGGCGGCCTCGAGCTGTGAAGCATCTGCCGGGACAGGCTGTGCAGGGGGTGGCTCCGTCCCACACTCCAGGCTGCTCAGGACGGGCTGGGGAGAAATAAGCATGTCCTGGGTGGTCTTCAGGGCCCGAGGGGTTCGCTTCCGGGTTACAGGAGGCGGAGGGTCCAGTCGGGGGAACGCTTCTCTAAGGGCCAACCTGCAAGGGTAACGACAATCGACGTGCGTGTTTGGTGGTGCCCGTCCCGCCAGCCTCTAAGTTCCCTGGCATCCTGACCTCGCCCGCCCTCCTGGGGCAGCGTGTGGTCTCAGTGGCCGGAGCACAAGTGGCTCTGGCCCGCGACATAGGACCTGGGCAGTGAGCCTTGCGAAGGCCATCAGCGCCACAGGGTGCAGGCGTGTCACACAGGCGAGTCACACAGGC